TTGAAATGCAAAAATTACCCAGGTGTGGTGGTTCGTGTCTGTAGTCCTACCTACTCAGGTGGCTGAGGCAGGAGATCACTTGAACCCGAGAGGCGGAGGTTGCAGTGAGTCAGAATTATGCCTCTGCACTCCAGCTTAGGTGACAGAGTGAGACTCCATCTCTAAATAAATAAATTTAGTTTAGCCTAAGGATACAGTGTTTATAAAGTCTACAGTAGTGTTCAGTAATGTCCTAGGCTTCCACATTCATTCACTACTCTGGACTCACCCAGCACAGTTTTCAGTCATTCGTGTTAAGTGCCTTTTATAGGTATACCATTTTTTATCATTTATACCATATTTTTACTGTACCTTTTCTGTATTTAGATACACAAATACTTAGCATTGTGTTAGAGTTGCCTGCAGCATTAGTAGTAACATGCTATGGAGGTAACATGCTATAGAGGTTTGTAGCCTGGGGGCAATAGGCTATGCCACATAGCCTAGATGTGTAATAGGCTATTCCTGTTGTGTAAGCTTGTGTAAGCACACTATATAATGTTCAAATGGTGATGAAATTACCTAACAATGCATTTCTCAGTACACATCCCCAGTCATTAAGTGATGCTTCCTCATACTTTCTTCCAGTTGCTCTAGAAAATACTAAAGCAAGGCCAGGCACAATGGCTCATGCCTTTAATCCCTGTACTTTGGGAGGCTGAGCCATGAAGATCGCTTGGACCCAGAAGTTCAAAACCAGCCTGGGCAACGTGGCTTCTTCGTACTTTCTTCCAATTGCTCTAGAAAATACTAAAATACTAAAGCAAGGCTGGGGACAGTGACTCATGTCTATAATCCCTGTACTTTGGGAGGCCAAGCCATGAAGATTGCTTGGATGCAGAAGTTCAAAACCAGCCTGGGCAACATGGCAAGACCTCATCTGTACAAAAAAATCTAAATAAAAATAAATTCCCTGGGTATGGTGGTGTGTGCCAATAGTCTCAGCTACTCGAGAGGCTGCGGTTGTAGGATTCCTTGTGCTCATTAGTTTGGGGCTACAGTAAGCCATGTTTGAGCCACTGCACTATAGGCTATGTATGACGAGATCCTGTCTCAAAAAAAAGAAAAGAAAAAAAATATTAAAGCATTTCTTGATAAAATGTTTCTTACCAGGAAGTCAGGCAGAATTACATATTATAAGTCGTTGAATCTGTTGCAGCTTTTTGATACTCTTCACTTTTGGTCCCAAGGAGAAATGAAAAGGTATGAGGCACGTATGTTTTACTTAAAATCTCTTACTACCTATTCTAATACACATTTATCATGGCTTCCCTGTAGAGACTGCAGCACTGTTTTTAAGGGATTCTGTTAAAGGAATAATGTTTTTTGGGTAGTTAGTATTTTTAGGTCCAGTTCTTAGTTCCATAGAGATCATGACACTCATACTTAAGTGGTGTCCCATTTCTGTTTGTGCTATGGGTCCCATGCCACAGCCATGGGTCATAAAACTGTGATTCAGGGCCGGGCGCGGTGGCTCACGCCTGTAATCCCAGCACTTTGGGAGGCCGAGGCAGGTGGATCACAAGGTCAAGAAATCGAGGCCATCCTGGTCAACATGGTGAAACCCCGTCTCTACTAAAAAAAAAATACAAAAAATCAGCTGGGCATGGTGGCATGTGCCTGTAATCCCAGCTACTCAGGAGGCTGAGGCAGGAGAATTGCCTGAACCCAGGAGGCGGAGGCTGTGGTGAGCCGAGATCGCGCCATTGCACTCCAGCCTGGGTAACGAGAGCGAAACTCCGTCTCAAAAAAAAAAAAAAAAAAAAAAGCCGTGATTCAAACACAGGCAGTCAAACTCCAGAGATTGCACTGGACACCATAATACCATCCTGTCTTTCAGTGTTCCTAAAGCCTAAACCTCGTTTACCCCAAAGGCCATTGCCTTTTACATGTTACTCTCCTCCTCCAGAAGACAGCTAATATGGCTGCTGTTCATACTACTAGTTATTAATTGCTGTTTGTGTGCATATTCCTATATCATTTCAGGTCAGGTTTTGCCACCAAATAAGTTAAATTTAAAATTTTTAATATAGCAAAGCTATTGGAATTCTGCTGAATTACACACCTGAACTATATGACTTGGAGAAATGAGACACAAAGTAATGTTTTTATTATGACGTTTTAAATTTTGTTGGTGATATAAGGAATTCTCTCATCTTACAGGACTGCTGATGGAGGAGGTTTGGTAGAAAAACACTATGTCTTTCTGAAGAGACTCTGTCAGGTGCTGTGTGCGCTGGGCAATCAGCTGTGTGCATTGCTGGTGAGCTGGTGCTTGCTTTCTGGAGTTTCAAGGCCCTTTGGGAAGAAGATTTAGAAACTTAGTTTCAATAAGGGGTTGCAAATGTCATTGATTTTAGCCTGATGGGGCAGTGCCCTAGAGGTTTTTGCATGATTCTATAGATTAAATTATCTTAATAGTGTTTGAGTGATCTAAGTTTCTTTTAACAATAAAATAGTTAGACCAACGTCAGATATCCACATCTATTACTCCATGAAGTCAGCGTTGGTTTCTTGTGAATTTTGATACTTAGAGAACCTCAGTCTGCTGAGTGCATTACGCTTTTACATTCTATTGGCCCATGAAACATGGACTTGAATAAAGAAACCTTTTCCCAATGTAAGGGATGTATTATTGGATCACAAAAGACAAACCGATTGACCTGGAAAACTTACCATTAGCGAAATATTGAATACCCAGTCTTATAAGCTGAGAGATAGAACATTGGAACAAACATTTGCAATTGATGTTCTATTGTCTTGTGGTGGTTTAAATGGTTAGATAGTTAGCTTAACTAGGATAGTTTCAGACATAAGAAACTATTGAGGGAGCCAGGCACAGTGGCTTATGCCTGTAATCCCAGCACTTTGGGAGGCCAAGGCAGGCAGATCACTTGAGGTCAGGAGTTTAAGACTAGCCTGGCCAACATGATCAAACCCTGTATCTACTAAAAACACAAAAATTAGCCGGGCATGGTGGTGCGCGCCTGTAATCCCAGCTACTCAGGAGGCTGAAGTAGGAGAATTACTTGAACCTAGGAGGTAGAGGTTACAGTGAGCCGAGATCTTGCCACTGCACTCCAGCCTGAGCAACAGAGTGAGATTCTGTCTAAAAAAAAAAAAAGAGAGAAACTATTGAGAGGGTTATTTAATAGACTTGTTCACAGAGATGTGAATAGGCAAGGTTTGAGGAATTTATAGAGACTTTCTTTCTCCCCGTAATTTCTGAAATGAATATTTTTTTTATTTTACTATTTGACCACAGAATGGGTTTTAATGATGATTATTGAGTAAAGTAACTTACCTATATTTTAGCCCTAGAAGTGATGCCTTTCTTTAGCCAAAAGGAAATATAAAGTCCTTTTAAACGACAAATTTTTTTGAGAGTTTGTCTTATTTCTCCCCTGCTTTTTCTCTCCTGATTTTCTTAATATAGTGGTCTTCTCCTACAGGGTGTTGATTCTGATGTGGAAACACCGTCAAACTTTGGAAAATACCTGGAATCTTTTCTTGCTTTCACAACCCATCCAAGTCAGGTAAACTTTATACACGTAACTTCTCAAAATTTTAGTTAGGTGAACCAGTATCAAGCACTGTGTCCTGAAATATTGTAGATCATGTATAAAATGTGACTTTTCAGGCCCTGGGAAATGACTGTAGTGTCATTTCATTAAGAGAAATTGGCTCTTCTTCCTGAGCCAAACAATGCACTTGTCTAGGTCAGCAGCTTTTCCTTTCAGGTAACGTTCTGGCTATATTCAGTCATATGTGAGGTGTGTCTCAGGTGATTGAGTACTAAGGTTATAAAGCTTTTAAGAAAATTCTGATTGTGTTATAAAATTAATTTCACTCAGTTCAAAATTGTTCTTCTAATATCACTCTGAGATTCCAGTATTCTTTCTTGCAAAGAAGAAAAAGTAGTAAAATTCAGTCCACACTCCAGGTAATTTCCCTGACCAACAGCCTGTCTTACTAACATATGGTCCATCCTGAGTAATCATTACTGATGCATTGCAGTAGAGACAGCTTCAAAGTGTTGTACAGATTTATTTCTAAGAAAAAATGTAGTTGATAACTGCTAAATAGTAATCTGGGTTAGAATTATTTTGGGTATAGAATCCAAATCCTTAGACTGTTGTTTTCTTTTTTTCTGTTTAGTTTCTACGCTCTTCAACTCAGATGACTTGGGGAGCCCTCTTCAGGCATGAAATCCTGTCCCGTGATCCTTTGCTATTAGCAATAATACCAAAATATCTTCGTGCTTCCATGACTAACTTAGTCAAGGTATATAATGGGAATCTAAACATGTGGAGTGTAGGTGAATACACATAGTAAGACTTCGAGACTGGGCACAGTGGCTCACGCCTATAATCTCAGCACTGTGAAAGGCTGAGGTGGGAGGATGGCTTGAGCCCAGGAGTTGGAGACCAGCCTGTGCAACATGGCAAAATCTCATTTCTGCTAAAAATACAAAAAACATAGCAGGGCATGGTGGTATACACCTGTAGCCCCAGCTAGTCAGGAGGCTACAGTGGGAGAGTCACCTGAGCTTGGGAAGTTGAGTCTGCAGTGAGCTGAGAGCACACGACTGCCCTCCAGCCTAGGCGATGAGAGTAAGACCCTGTCTCGGGGAGAAACAAAACAAAGACTTTTATTGGCATTATTAACAGCCTTTTCTTCATCACTAAGATTCCTTTATTGGACACATTTTCTTATTCCTCAGGAAGAAATCAGTCCTTACTGGCTCTTATAACTGCTCTTCTGTATCAGAGTACTTACATATCATAAGTATTGGGCTAGGTACTAGGGCAAGAGCAGCAACCATACAATGTGATAATTGCTATTTAGGGGTTAAAAGCAGAATGCTTTGGAAGTACACAGGAGGGTTGAGTTGGGAAGATTCCAAGAGAAGGCAATATCTGATTGTTTCTGGAGGCCAAGTGAGAGTTAGGAAGGCAAATGCGGGGAGTGAGAGTGAAAGCAAAGATTGTGTACTACTTCAGTAGAAAATTGCTCATGAATTCCCTACTAAGAGCTCTTGCAGTTGACAGATTCTTAATTTGTAACATCAGAGAATAGGGCACATTCAAGGGTCCCCTTATTTTCTTAAGGAATTTGCCTAGCACATAGCAACCACTGTGTTTGTATTTTCTGCCCTGGTCTTCAATACTTTTTGAATGAAACATACAAAGTTCTACAAGCTTATTCTCCATGTTCAGTATTTGAGGCAAGTAGTTCTCAATTCTTTCTTCCTTACTGCTTGCTGAAGTATCATTTTGGGCCGTAAAAGAATTCAAGAATTTAATTCTCCCTGAGGAACTTGGAGGACAGTCTCAAATAAAAGTATTTTCTTTTCTACCACTGAGGAATACTGGAACTGGGAGCAAACTGTGGACCTGTGATAGAACAGAAGTGGTTATTTATCATATAATATCTCATGCAAACCCTTAACTCTTAACTAAATTAAAAGTGCTTGAACTCCTGAAGCTTAAACACTCTTTCAGTGGGTCCATTTTCATCCCCTACCCCAATTACCTTTCTCTTTCCAGATGGGCTTTCCTTCTAAAACAGACAGCCCTAGCTGTGAATATTCTCGATTTGATTTTGATAGCGATGAGGACTTCAATGCTTTCTTCAACTGTAAGTGATGTTGGCCTTGAATTTCTCTCAACAGTCTCAGAATGACATCAGTATTATGAATCATAGTGCATGATGTTTGGGGTTCTTATGAAAGATCCCCAAATCTGGATAGCAGCCTACTTATTAAGCCCTAGTTTCCCATTGCAGAAGAGTGTTGGGGCTGTATTCCAGGCATAGTGTTTTGTTTTTTACCAAAAACCCCACACACAGCCTTTGGACATAGATGTTTAGGTACACTAATCATATTTAAGATGCTCTTGACTTTTTTTCAGACTTAGGATTAAATACTATCTTACCTTATGGTTCTTTCTTTCAAAAAAATGGAAAAATCCATTTTATTATAATATTTTAATTCTGTTCTGTGTTTTATTTTGTTCCTTATTTCCTTTTTTTTTTTTTTTNTTTTTTTTTTTTACATCTTTGTTGAGACAAAATTCATTTACCATACAGTTCACCCACGTGTAGTATATAGTTTAACGGTTTTTAGTATTTTTACAGAGTTGCGCAGCCATCATGACAATCAATTTTTGGATTATATTTTCATCACTCCAAAAATAAATTCTGTATCCACTAGGAGTCATTCCCAATTCCCTCATCCCTCCCAGTCCTGGGCAACCAGTAATCTACTTTTTTTTTTTTCTTTCTTTCTTTCTTTTTTAGAGAATTCCTAAGTCTCATTCTGTCTCTGTTTTACCTATTCTGAATGTTTCATATAAATGAAATCACACATGGTCTTTTGTGATTGCCTTCTTTACTTGTGTAATGTTTCTAAGATTCATCCATGTTACAACATTTATTGGTTTTTGATTTCTTTTTTTTTTGCGACAGAGTCTTGCTCTGTTGCCCAGGCTGGAATTCAATGGCATGATCTCGGCTCACTGCAGCCTCTGCCTCCTGGGTTCAAGCGATTCTCCTGCCTCAGCCTCCCAAGTAACTGGGATTACAGGCATGTACCACTATGCCCAGCTAATTTTTTGTATTTTTAGTAGAGATGGGATTTCATCATGTTGGTCAGGTTGGTCTCGACCTCCTGACCTCAGCTGATCCACCCGCCTTGGCCTTGCAAAGCACTGGATTACAGGCATGAGCCATCACGCCTGGCCTTCATTTCTTTTTATTGCCAATATTTCATTGTATGGATATACCACATTTACTCATTTATTCATCTGTTGATGGACATTTGAGTTATTTCTATGTTGGGCTATTACAAATAATGCTGCTATGAACGTTTATATACAAGGTTTTGTATAGACATAAGTTTTTTTTTATCTTAGATATATAACTAGGAGTAGAATTGCTGGATAATATGGCAATTGCATGTTTAATATTTTCAGGAAGGCCGGGCGTGGTGGCTCACGCCTGTAATCCAAGCACTTCGGAGGCCAAGGCAGGCGGATCACCTGAGGTCGGGAGTTTAAGACCAGCCTGACCAGCATGGTGAAACCCCATGTTTAAAGAAAAATAAAAAAGGAAAAAAAAAATATTTTCAGGAAATGCCAGACTGTTTTCCACAGGAGCTGCACCACTTTATATTACCACCAACCTGATTTCCCTTTTTTAAATTTTGTTTTTATTTTGAGACATGGTCTCACAATGTTGCCCAGGCAGGAGTGTGGTGTTGCAATCATGGCTCACTACAATCTTGACCTCCCTGGGTTCAGCTGATTCTCCCATCTCAGCCTCCCAAGTAGCTGGGAGTATAAGTGGATGCCACCACGTTTGGCTAATTTTTGTATTTTTTGGTAGAGACTGGGTCTCACTGTGTTGTCTAGACTGGTTTCAAACTCCTGGGCACAAGCAGTCGGCTCACTTTGGTCTCCTAAAGTGCCAGGATTTCAGGCATGAGCTGCCACGCCCAGCCCTGATTTCCTTTTAATTCCAACAGAAATGGGAGACTAATTTTAGTTTACCATTTATAGGATCTGGCTGTTAATACAGCTTCCAGAGATCATTTATTTTTGAAAATTTCTAGATTCATTAATAAAGTTTTATTGAGTGATTATTACATTCAAAGTACAAGTCTGCAAAACATTTCCTTTGAATGCTTTTCCCCTAGGGTGGTAAATGAATAAACATTAAGTACATATTTTATACTAATTACTGATTTCTGTCCTTCCCTTGGCAGCCTCCCGAGCTCAACAAGGAGAGGTGATGAGGTTGGCATGTCGTTTGGATCCCAACACTAGCTTCCAGATGGCTGGGGAGTGGCTAAAATATCAACTATCAACTTTTCTTGATGCTGGTTCTGTGAATTGTAAGTTTTTTTTACTACTGAATGTTAGTGAAATGTTATGACGGTATCAAAACTATGTATAGGAAATGAGCCTGAGCCACACATCAGAACAATATACTAATATTGTTCAAAAATAGCTTTGCTTTTGGCTCACACAAAAGGGATTTAGGGATTTAGCATTCAGTTATATTTACAGTTGACTAAAGTTCTCTGATATTTGATAACTTGAAAGTTTGAGGAGGCCCAAATGTATTGCACCGAGATCAAACTAGTAAATGGGACTATGCCTTATGTAAGCAAGAAAAGCAATGGGTAAATCTTAGGCCAAGCCTGGTGGCTCACATCTGTAATCCCAGCACTTTGGGAGGCTGAGGCTGGGGATCACCTGAGGTCTGGAGTTCAAGACCTGCCTGGCCAACATGGAAAAACCGCATCTCTGCTAAAAATAAAAAATTAGCTGGACGTGGTGCTGGGCACCTGTAATCCCAGCTACTCAGGAGGCTGAGGCAGGAGAATCACTTGAACCTGGGAGGCTGAGGTTGCAGTAAGCCAAGATCACACCATTGCACTCCATCCTGGGGAACAGAGTGAGACTCCTTAATAAAAAAAAAAAAAAAAAAAAAAGGGAAATGCAGCGGGGCATGGTCACTCATGCCTGTAATCCCAGCACTTTGGGAGGCAGATGTGGGGGGATTATGAGGTCAGGAGTTGAAGACCACCCTGGCTAAGATGGTGAAACCCCAGCTCTACTAAAAAACATACAAAAATTAGCTGCGTGTGGTGGCAGGCACCTGTAACCCTAGCTACTCAGAAGGCTGAGGCAAAGAATTGCTTGAACCCAGGAGATGGAGGTTGCAGTGAGCCAAGATCCCGCCACTGCACTCTAGCCTGGGCAACAGAGTGAGACTCCATCTCAAAAAGAAAAGCAATTGGTAAATCTTTTTGCTTGTGTCTTGCTATTTGAGTGGTATGCTGTGGTAATATTTGTCAACTTGAAGGATGGCACAGTTCTCTAGACATAGCCCTTAGAGTTGTCATGAGGCTATTGGATATTAAGCAGTGTTTTGTATATTACATTGTTTCCCAATTGGGAAGATTCTTTATGGTCTCAATTTTAACTACTTAGATTCTCATGGAAAAGATTATAAAGGGGATGAGGGGAGAAACTGATTTGTGTTTATTGAGTGCCTACTAATGAGCTAGGCAGTGTTTTTGATGTTCATGTGCGTATTCTCGTTCGTTACTCAAAACAGTTTTACTACAAGGCTCATAGAGGTGAATTCAGACTGCTCATTGTTAAAGGAGGAGGCATGGTAGGAAACTCCACCTACCTTATTGCTTTCATCACACATCATCTTTTCTTTGCCCAAGCTAAGAGGGGTTAGATTACCCTGTTCCTTCAGTCATGAAGTTCTTGGGTGTTCTCTAAGGCTCCGTTGTCTCTCAGTGTCTTTTGTGATCCTTCAGTGCTGATAATTGTGTGTGTGTTTTCAAGCTTGTTCTGCAGCTGGAACTGGAGAAGGAAGCCTCTGTTCCATCTTCTCACCTTCATTTGTGCAATGGGAAGCCATGACTCTCTTTTTGGAAAGTGTTATCACCCAGATGTTTCGAACACTAGATAGAGAAGTAAGTATTTCCCATGCTGACTGCATGATGATTTTGACCTTTTTTCTTCTTTCTTTCGTTTTTGAGACACGATCTCTCTCTGTTGCTCAGGTTGAAGTGCAGTGGCACAATCACAGCTCTTTATAACCTCCAACTCCTGGGCTCAAGCAATCCTCTTACTTCAGGCTCCTGAGCATCTAGGATTACAGTCACGTGCCACCACCCCTGGCTAATTTATAATAAAAATGGAGTCTGTGTTGCCCAGTCTGATCTCAAACTCCTGTCCTCAAATGATCCTCCTACCTTGGCCTCCCAAGGTGCTAAGATTGCAGGTATGACCCACTATGCCTAGCTGGTTTTGATCTTTTTAAAACTGGTAGTGGAATAGGAAAATCTGTGGATGTACCTCTTACAGAAAAGGAAACTGAGATTTAGAGAGGCTAAATACCATACTCAAGTTCAAACAGCTGATAAATGGCAAAGCTGGGACCAAAACTCAGGTCTTTTTAACTCTAAGCCCTACCACATTTAGTATACATTTTAAGTACCACACAGCTTTAGAGTACTGTAGGCCACCAGTATAGTGGCCACCTCTAGGTCTGAAAAGGAAGGTATGCACAGAGAGCCTCGACTGTATCAGTGAAATCATATTTCTTAAAGTGGGCAGATGAGGATTTACTAAATTGTAGAGAAATAGACAAAAGATATAATTCAATAATGTATAGAGGAGAATCTAAAGTAGCTGATAAATCAGGCGCAGTGGCCCACGCCTATAATCCCAGCACTTTGGGAGGCCAAGGCGGGTGGATCACTTGAGTTTAGGAGTTCAAGACTAGCCTGGCCAACATGGTGAAGCCCCATCTCTACTAAAAATACAAAAATTAGCTGGGCATGCTGGTGGTGTACATCTGTAATCCCAGCTATTTGGGAGGCTGAGCCATGGGAATCGCTTGAACCCAGGAGGCAGAGGCTGCTGTGAGCCGAGATCATGCCACTGCACCCGAGCCTGCATGACAGAGCAAGATTCTGTCTCAAAGAAAAGAAAAGAAAAGGGCCAGATGTAGTGGCTCACCCCTGTAATCCCAGCACTTTGAGAGGCTAAGGTGGGCAGATCACCTGAGGTCAGGAGTTCAAGACCAGCCTGTTCAATATGGCAAAACTGCGTCTCTACTAAAAATAGAAAAATTAGCTGAGCGTGGTGGTGGGTGCCTGTAATCCCAGCTACTTGGGAGGCTGAGGCAGGAGAACCACTTGAACCGAGGAGGTGGAGGTTGCAATGAGCTGAGATCATGCCATTGCACTCCAGCCTGAGCAACCAAGAATGAAACTCCATCTCAAAAAAAAGAAACAAATATATAAATAAATAAAATAGCTGATAAATAAGAGAAACATTCAGCCTCATTATCAGTTAAAGAAATAAAAAATTTTAAAGGTTTTAGGGAATAATAAATATACTGCTGAGAATGTGGTAAGAAGGGCACACACAGCTGAGTATGGTGGTTCACACTTATAATCTCAACACTTTGGGAAGCCAAGGTGGGAGGAATGCTTGAACCCAGGAGTTTGAGACCAGCCTGGACAATAAAGTGAGACCTCGTCTCTAATGAAAAAAAGAATTAGCCAGGCATGGTCGTATACACCAGTAGTCCTACCTACTTGGGAGGCTGAGGCCACAGGATCACTTGAAGCCGGGAGTTTGAGACCAGCCTGGTCAACATAACACTTCTACAAAGTCTCTACAAAACTTTTAAAAAGTATCTTGGCATGATGGTGCCTGCCTGTAGTCCTGGCTACTCGGGAGACTAAGGTGGGAGGATCCCTTGAGTTCAGGAGGTTGAGGTTACAGTGAGTGATTGTGCCACTGCACTTCAGCCTAGGTGATAGAGTGAGACCCTGTCTCTTAAAAAAAAAAAAAAGAAAGAAAATTTAGCCACAATGGTTTTCTCTGAGTGGTGGCAGCATGTCAACCTCCATTTTATGTCTTTATTACAGGAAATTCCTGTTAATGATGGAATAGAGCTGTTGCAGATGGTTCTGAACTTTGATACCAAGGATCCCCTCATCCTGTCCTGTGTCCTTACTAATGTCTCTGCACTCTTTCCATTTGTCACCTACAGACCAGAGTTCCTGCCCCAGGTCTTCTCTAAGGTAAAGTCCATGTCCTTTGTAAATTCTATTTTGACATTTCTAAGTTAATTTTTATTTTACTTTTTGGAGACAGGATCTTGCTATATTGCCGACGCTGAACTCAAACTCCTGGTCTCAAGGGATCCTCACACCTCAGCCTTCTGAGTAGCTGAGACTACAAGCATGCATCAGTCACCATGCCTGGCCTAAGCTAATTATTTTTATAACTGTTTTTGAAATTATGTGAGGCAAATTAATAAACACAGTTATTTATTAAATACCTACTCAGTACTTACTGTGGATTAGGCAGTATGCTAGTGCCTCACTCTTTAGGAACACTCTGGGAAGAAAGGCACAAAAACAGATATTGTTACCTATATGGCATTGCAATGAAGACTTGTACACTGGGAAATGGGAAAGAATACTTAAAGGAGAGTATTAGAGTATGCTCTCAGCCTGGGAGGGGATTTATGAGAGGGAGGAACAATACAGATATTTTTCAGGTTTCTAGTTCAGTTGACTAGGTGGGTGATAGAGCCACTACCTGAGTAAGAATACTGGATCAGGAAGGAGAACAGGAGTGAAGAGAAAGCGGTGAGTATTTTGGAATACTGTGTTTGTAGTATACATAGAGCATCTTTATGGAGAAATCTCACAATAAATTGGCTATTTGATGTTGAAGATCTAGATTCTAGAAAGTAACAAGATAAAATTAAAGCATCATCATCATAGAAGTCCCAAGACCAAAAGTTATGGATACTTAAGTGATTATGTAGAGTTAGGAGACATGTGAGTCAAGCAAGGAACCTAGAGGAGTAGAGAAAAAAATGAGAAGCCCCCAAAGAAGAAAAAAGAGCCAGAGAGATGAAAATGTTGTGTCACAAGACCAGCAGAACTTCAGAAAAGTGGGCTTATTTGTTGCAGATTCCTTATAAGTTGTCAAATGTCCAGTGAGTTTCTTGACTACACTGTTGTCTTGAGTTTAATTCCGTAATAGTGATCAAGGAAGCAGCCATATTTCATTGGGATGAGGAGTAAATGGGAAGTAATGAAGTGGAATCAGGGGGATAGATCACACAACTTTTGATAAAAAGAAGAGAGAAGTGTTTCCATAGCCAAGTGTTTGGGTGATGGCATGAATTGTTCTGGGATCCTATTGTGAAATGTTTTGATGGTGAAATTGTGACTCCGAAGCCTCTTGTGGAGGTATCTGAGAAAATGGACAACATGAATAAGCTCATGCTTATAGTCCCAGCTACTCAGAAGACTAAAGCGAGAGAATCACTTGAGCCCAGGAATTCAAGTCTAGTCTGGCCAACATAGCAAGATCTCATCTCTAAAACAAACAAACATGAGTGACCTTTTTTCCTCTTCTGCCGTAGCTATTTTCATCTGTCACTTTTGAAACTGTTGAAGAAAGTAAGGTAAGACTATTAATTAAACTAACAGATTCTAACTTCTTGAGAACAAAAGTATGAATACCTGAAACCCAGTTTATATTTTTATATAAATGGGAGGGGGTAGTAAGGGCAGTAGATTATCATATGATATGGTGTTTTGCCCTAGAGACACTCTAGGGCATACAGGAAACATGGATTCTTGGTGGCTATAAATGTTACTCTATTATACTCTTATGGTTGTGAAAAATCATTGTGAACTTGCCCCTAATTGAGATATTTACATGATTCTATGCAGCATCTATAAATTATATGGAAGTAGCTCCAAGTTTGTTGAATGTCTCTTTCCAGGCCCCTAGAACCCGGGCAGTGAGGAATGTAAGGAGACATGCTTGTTCCTCCATCATCAAGATGTGTCGTGACTACCCCCAGCTTGTGCTGGTAAGCTGCTGAAAGAGCCAAGTTTGGTTACATTTGTGTTTAAATCCAGACTTCAGTGTACCTCGCATAAAGAAAAAACTAGTAGCTATTGCTTTACATCAATTAAGCATTCTTGGCTGGGCATGGTGGCTCATGCCTGTAATCCCAGCACTTTGGGAGGCTCAGGCAGGTAGATCACCTGAGGTCAGGAGTTTGAGATCAGCCTGGCCAACATAGTGAAGCCCCATCTCTACTAGAAATACAAAAAATTAGCCGAGGATGTTGGTGCACACCGGTAATCTCAGCTCCTCAGGAGGTAGAGGTTGCAGTGAACCAAGATTGCACCATTGCTGCAGCCTGGGCAACAAGAGTGAAACTCCGTCTCAAAAATAAATAAATCAGCATTCTTGAATTGGTGTTTTCTTAGTATACTTAGTAGTATAGTTAGAAATGTGATGGCAAATATAATCTCTTCAAAATACAGATAGTTTACCCTTAATCTACAACTCTTTACCATGTGATGACCTTAATTACTACTGCCAAATGATGTGCCAAATGATCTTGAGAAAAGCAGATGCAAATCACAACCCTTTTTGGGACATAGGGTGATAAGAAATTTAACATTACTCCAGATTACAAATTAACCAGAAATTTCTTCTCTGAATGCACAGTAGTTGTCTCCCTATGTATATAACAAGCTGATCTTTTCACAGTTGTAGTATGGGAAGGTGCAGTTATCCAAATACTCAAGACAAGAGCTATCTTCTGCCTGAATTGCCTGCTATTTACCAAGTAATAGCCTTATAGGCCTGACTTTCCTGAGACTGCCTTGGTTTTCTTCTTTCTTCCTTGAGTGAGCCACCTCTCCTTTAAAATCAGACCTTTGCCACCTCTGGCTTTTTTTCTTTTTGATCTGTAGCCCAATTTTGACATGCTTTATAACCATGTGAAGCAACTCCTCTCCAATGAGCTACTCCTGACACAAATGGAGAAGTGTGCCCTCATGGAAGCACTGGTTCTCATTAGCAACCAATTCAAGAACTATGAGCGTCAGAAAGTGTTCCTAGAGGAGCTGATGGCACCCGTGGCCAGCATCTGGCTTTCTCAAGACATGCACAGGTAAAGGAGATAATCTGCCCTCTCACTACATGCACCCATTTTGGTTTAAGAGCTTGGCCCAGGATGGAGTTAGGGGTTAAGGATATTGGAAGTGTGATGGCATTATCCATAATACCTGAAGTTCTCCTAAAAGAAGTCTTTTGTAATTTAATCTCTGGTTAGATTAGATTATGGGTGGGGAGGGCACAGAGTGAGACTCCTTTTAGTGTCTACATTGCAGTACCAGCACATTTGGAGAAATGAGAACAGCTAGGAAGGGCCATACAACCACACTTACCTGTGCTCACACAGTAGAAAAATTATTTTCTTTATATTTTCAAGATTATATTCTTGTTTAATTTTTAAATTGTTACTAATAACATTTGGAAGTGGGAGGGAAATTTAAACCTTCAAATGACAGCTGACCATTAGTATGATTATACTCCTCTCACTATAAAACTGCTCTTCAGGGCCAAATAATCATAACTGTTAACTCATGAGGAAGAAACTGTCCTTGTTTAAAATCATGATATAACTTGTTTTTTCCCCTCCAACCTTCAGAGTGCTATCAGATGTTGATGCTTTCATTGCATATGTGGGTACAGATCAGAAGAGCTGTGACCCAGGCCTGGAGGATCCCTGTGGCTTAAACCGTGCACGAGTAAGAGTTTCCTGGGAATGGGAAGTGGCATTGGCCATGGGTAGGAGTAGGGTGTTGTCTGTTGTCAAGTTTCTCATAGATTTGTTTATTCTATACTGGTGAGAAACCTGGGAGTCTCTACTTCCCTAAGCTTCTCCTTTCTTTTCTTCTTTAGTCTTGAATTCTTGAGTTAGTTCCCACAGCAGAGCAGATGGTCTTTTCTATGAAGTCATTATTTTGGCTTTAAGGATCTCTAAATAGCTCTGAAGACTGAAGGTGTAATGAGGAAGTAGGTCAGAACTTGGTCAGCAGGGTGAGTCCTCCCTGCCATTGCTCTCTGGCATGAAAAGTCTTAAGTGATGGCTTAACTTACAAATCTGAGATTTTTCAGTGCTTTGCTATTTAAATAAGCAATGTTCCTGGTTCCATTATGGCACAAGTCCCATTATTTAACCTGGCAAGTGGTAGGTTGATTGAGAGTACCATGAGGGGGGATTAGGACACTAGCTGTCAAGGCCCAAGCTGGAGGGTGCAGGATCAACTCAAAGAAGATGAAATGATGGCACTTTAAACACTTTGTTGTGGATCTTATCTAAGACACCTTCTAATCAGTGTCCTGTGGGTGGGTCACTGCAGCTCCTAGAAAGATAGCTTGCTGAAAGGGAAGTTTCCAGAGCCTACCACTGGCCCTGAAAATTGCAGTGAGAGGATCCCTCTTGGACTTCACCTTAAAAGAAGGAACAGGGGACTATGGGGGAGCAGAGAATTATTTCATTCTCTCTGGCCTCTGTATCACTTTTGCCAGAGCCTTGAATATATCTAACAGTACTTTGTGTTTTCTTTCTCTTTTATATTTATCTGTCATTCTTGTTTTTCTATAGATGAGCTTTTGTGTATACAGCATTCTGGGTGTTGTGAAACGAACTTGCTGGCCCGCTGACCTGGAAGAGGCCAAAGCTGGGGGATTTGTGGTGGGTTATACATCCACTGGAAATCCAATCTTCCGTAACCCCTGTACAGAGCAGATTCTGAAACTTCTTGACAATTTGCTTGCCCTTATAAGGTGAGCCAGAATAATGGCTTTTCTCTGTTGTTTTTTTACTTCTTTACCTTAAAAATTTCAAAAGTTTGGTCCTATATATCTTCATATCTTAGTGGTGTTAATGAGGCATTAAATATTAAGTCTTATTCTTTCTAGAGAGTGTCTCAGTTTTTAAAAAATAACCTCAGCTCTCACTTGCATAAATCTTAATTTCCATGTGAACCCAAGGGGACTAATCCCAAAAGGGCTTTTCTTATTTTGAGCCGCCTCTTTGTTATTCCATTTCTTTATAACTCATTCCTATTTTTACTTGTTTTATTTGGTCTAAATTATTTAGTAAAGGACTTGCTCATTGGGAGCAGGGCAGTGCCTTCTATAATGGTGTTTCTCATTGCCCAGTTGAGACTGCTTTTACTGGGTGGTATTCATATGAGCTAATCTGAATTAACCAATACTGAGTCTGAGCTCAAATGGACCAAACAGCTGCTGGCTGAACATGCTAAACAAAGGAATTACACATTTTTCACCTCAGTTTGTTAGGTTCTGGGTTCTCAAAGCTGAGTCCTAAGACCAGTAGCATTAGCATCACCTGAGAGCTTATTTAAAAGGCAGAATCAAGGCCCCACCCTAGATGTATTAAATCAGAATCTACATTTTTAACTAGATCCCCAGATGGCTTATATACACATTAAACATTCAGAATCACTGTTCTAGATCACATAAGTTAATATATTCAAGTGGAA